CTCAACTGTAAAATGCAGATAATAATAGCACCTACCTCCCAAGGTTTTTGTGAAGGTCAAATGAGATAATATTTATAAAAAACACTTAACTTCTAGTTGTTATTATTAGTAGTAGTAGCCAAAGTAGCTACAAAGCTAGAGGTAAAAATCAGGGAGAATCTTAAGGTATGTATTTATGGGTTTTATTTTTCTATTGTTCAAGTATCATAATGGCATAAAAGGCAGCAGATTTTCAGACCATTTCAGTGTCTTTACTAACGCAGAACTTGCTTTTCTGTAAAGAGAACTGACGACAGTGTTAAGTGCACAGTAGCTTTCTCCACTAAAATCTGACCCCACTGCTACATCATCATGACCAATGCTAACATTTATTTATCCAGCACTTTTCAGTCTGCAAAGCCCCTTACAAAAATGGAGGTTGCCATGGGTTCTCAAACACTGTACCATTGGAGTTTGAGACATGGCAAGTCCTACTTAGATGGAATGAATATATATAGGACTGATGATTGATTGCAGGTCTCTCATCTGAAGACTAATCTCTCTCTTTTTTTTTTTAAGGCAATTGGGGTTAAGTGATTTGCCCAGGGTCATATGGCTAGTAAATGTCAAGTGTTTGGTCTGAGGCTGGTTTTGAACTTAGGTCCCCCTGACTTCAGGGCTGGTGCTGTATCCACTGCACCACCTAGTTGCCCCAGAAGACTAATCTCTTTGGAGGAGGAAGAACTCATCACCAGAAGGTTGGTCCTAGGATGATGATGTATTTTTCAATAATAACTCATGAAAACCACCTACTAAGTCAAGTTTGTTTTGTTTTAGTTTGGTTTGGCTTGTTTTTTTTTTTTTTGAGGGGGGGTGATAGGGAAGAGTCCTAATTTATCTCAGTGTATCAGTAAATAGAAAACCTACACTAACAAAATCATAGGTTTTCCAAAGTATTTGAGGTTAAAGACTCATCTTCCTGACCTCCCTATTTCTGTTAAAAACACCACTCTCCTCTATCCTTCATGCTTGAAATATTAGAATCTTCATTGGCTCCTTTTTCTGCATAGCTTTCTTCCCCCATCCCTGACATACAATCAGTTGTTGGGTTGTATTAATCCTACCTCTGTGATAGCTCTCCTTTTTATTTCCAGTGGCAACACCTTCATTACCTCTCATTTGGATTATTATAATACTTTCTTAACTAGTCTTCAGGACTTCAGTATCTCTGCTGTTGTTCAGTCATTTTCCAGTCACATTTGACTCTATGACCCCATTTGGGGTTTACTTGGCAAAGATACTGGAATGGTTTGCCATTTCCTTCTCTATCTCATTTACAGATGAGAAAACTGAGGCAAACAGGGTTAAGTGACTTGCCCAGATTCACACAGCTCATAAGTGTCTGAGGCCGTATTTGAATTCAGGAAGATGAATCTTCCTGATTTGAGGCTGGGCACTCTATTTGCTTGGCCACCTAGGGGACCCATAGTATATCTACTCTGTAATAATAATAGGATTACAGATTTACAGTTGCGAAGGACCTTAGGGACCATTAAGTTCTTTGTTTTACAGATCAAAGAAATTAATCACAAAGATTAAGTGACTGTCCCAGGGTCACACAGCTAGTAGGTGTCTCAAATATGATATGATCCAATCCTGACTTCAAGTCCAGTGCCCTGACCTCTAAACCTTTTTCATGAAATTCACCCAAATACTTAAACTCTATTCATTCTCCTGCAGCACAGCTCTGATTATGTTATAGCCTTCAGAAAAAATCTTAAATGACTCCCCATTACCTACTAAAATGAGATAAATATAAATAAATGCAAAATGGGACAATATTTATGAAATGCTTTGCAAACCTTAAAGCACTCTATAATGCCCAGCTATTGTTACTAAATAAAGTTCAACCTCCTCTTTCCTTGAATTCAAAGTCTTTCATGATTGGACCCCATTTACTTTTCCAGTTTATCTTCCATTGCTCCTCTTTACTTAGCCCATATTCTAACCAAACAGAATCATATACTATTCCTTGAGCTTGCCATGAGTTTTTCTACTATGCTCCCCATGCTCTGTCTTGGTTGCTTATCTAGGCTCATCTTCTTTCTTTCACCTAAGATTCAGACCAATTCAAAAGCACCACCCTCTATGTGGGAGGCACACCAGCAAAGTGCTATTTTAATGCCATGTCATAGTAGAAGTTCAAGTATGTGTAAGGCCCTGGGCACATGAAGATGAAATAGAAAATAGTTCCTGACCTCCAGGACCTTACCTTCTAGTAGGACATATGTTCAAATTAAAACCTAAATGAGACTTCTCTTAGTTTCCTCCTCTGTAAAATGAACATATTGGATGAGATGGACTCTGAGATTCCTTCCAATTCAAGAGCTTTGATGAGCTCCGTTCATTTCTTCAAATGGAACTTTCTTCAAGAAGTCTGTCCTGCACTGATGGAGCATCCAGTTGATGGAGTTGGGAAGTGATCCAACCATTCTGGAGAACAATTTGGAACTATGCCCAAAGGGCTATAAAACTGTGTATACCCTTTGATCCAGCCATACCACTGCTAGGTCTATATTCCAAAGACATCCCCCCAAAAGAGGAAAGGACCTATTTGTACAAAAATATGTATAGCAGCTCTTTTTGTAGTGGCTAAGAATTGGAAATCAAAGGGATGCCTATCAATTGGGGAATGGCTAAAAAAGCTGTAGGATGTGATTGTGATGGAATATTATTGTGCTATAAGAAATGACAAGCAGAATGATTTCAGAAAAATAAGAAAGACTTATGTGAACAGATTTGCAAAATAAAGTGAGCAGAACCAGGAGAGCATTGTACACAGTAGTAATAATGTTGTACTATGAAGAACAGTGAATGACTCAGTTATTCTCAGCAATACAATGATCCGATACAATCTCGAAGGACTAATGATGAAGCATACAAACCACCTCCAGAGAAAGAACTAATATTGTCTGAATGCAGACTGAAGCATGCTGTTTTTCACTTTCATCCTTTTTTTTTTACTCATGTCTTCATGTACAAAATTACTAATATGGAAATGTTTTACATGATTGCACATGTATAACCTATATCTCTTACCATATTAGGAAGCAGGGAGGGATGAGAGGGAGGGATAGAATTTGGAACTCAAAACTTTAAAGAAATGTTAAAAATTATTTTAATATGTAATTGGGGAAAAATAAAATATAATATATAATTTTTAAAAATATGTCTGTTCTGATTCATACTGATCTGTGATCTATGATCCTGATCTATGCTCAGTACACGGCATATGGTAGGTATTTAATAAATGCTAATTGACTGACTTACTGACTGATCCTCTGTCAGAAGTCCTCTCCTTAGGTCCCACAGTACTTTGTATCTCATACTGTACTTTCACCTTCTAATTTGTATGTGTTCGTTTATGTACATCATATCTTCCACAGAAAAGCTTACAAACTCCATGAGGACAACGAGCATGCCTTATATTTACCCCTCCTCTCTTCTAAGGAAGGAAGGCAAAAGGAAAAGATGATTATGGCTGATGATGATGAAAATATAACTTCTATTCACAAAATTATAAAACCCTAAACACATGTTCACAAATCCTTTTCGAGTCCCATGATGAATATTCAGCATCTGTCATGAAGAGCACTCAGATCAGAGTTTAAAGCAGGTGTATAGCTCTGTTTACTCATGAAAGATTAATAATATAAATGCTAAGGACCAGTAGACAAAAACAAAGATCTTGTTCCTGAGACTCTCGTTCAACTACTTACTCAAGTGAAATGGAATTGTCTTAGAAAATGGTTCTGGCTCTTTTGGTGATATTCTTCCATATATATACAGTGTACACTATTACTTAAGCATACAAAGCATTAATATTTTTAAAGGCATATTTTAAAGTCAAATAAATAGGGCTTTTAGTTTTAAGAAAACATTTTTTCCCATTGTGAATTTAATTTCTGTTAGGAATTAGTGTTCGTTGCCTTTCTAGATTCCAGGGAGGAATCTCCATCTACATGAAGACCATTCTAACCTAGTGTTCTCTGATTTTCAAATTGTATATGGAGTTTTTGAGGAGTAAAAGTTTCCGTACCTACTAAACTGTTCACTTGTTTAGTCTGTAAAAAAGAAATTCAGCTCTAGGCCTTCAAAATGCTTTTATAAAAATACCTATTTCTTAACTATGAGAACATTGTTAATGTTCTAGGGGACCATTGACCTGTGGAGTAAGTTCTAAATAAGATCAGGCAAGAAGCATTGATGGAGGAGAGAGAGAGAGCTGGGGAGGAAGAGGGAACTGGAGAGAACATATTAAGATCTGCTATGAAGTTTGAACTACTGAAATTCTCTATGTCCGGGTGAGAAAACTGTCATGAAGACACACGCTTCCAAAAGAGTCTCTGCCCACATGGAGTAAAAACTGAAGTTGTTGTTGTTGTTGTTGGTGGTGGTGGTGGTTTTTAATCTGGAGATATTTTGTTTGTTTTGCAGAAAATTCAACATTGTCGGTGTTTGTGTTTGGTTACTCGGGGTAAAAGTCACTCTTGCCAATTTCCAAGGAAGAGAAATGGTTTCTCAAAGCTTTGAAGCATCAGAAAAAAGCCCAAAGCAAACAAGAAGACGATATAAATTAAAGTAGCAAATACAAGTACATAAGTGCCAGAGCTCCAAAAATAAACAAATGAAAATTCCTTTCTCTCTTCTTCCTAGTCCCCTCCCTTCTCTCCTCTGCCTCCCCTTAAGAGTACAGGGGCCCGGGTGGTAGTAAGCCTGATGAGAAGAGATCTGGGTAAAATGAGACTACTCCCTAAGACTGAAAACAGAGGGAGAGAATCACTTATAGCTCAGTATAAGAAGCAAGACCAAATATCGTAGTTATTGGGAGACGCGGAGGAGAGGATGCTGAAGAAGATCCTGAAAAACTGGGGAGGGGTGTGCGGAAGGGAGAGGAAGGAGGGGGACGGGGGACCGGGGACCGGGCGAGGGAGGGGTCTGAAAAAGGTTAAGTAACTCACGTTTCACTGCCACCATCATCCTCTGATTCAGTATCAGTCCCCCACTCCTCGCCGATGTCTGGGAGGGTGAACAAGAGAGTCTTAGGGCCCTGGGCGGGCACTATCCAAGCACCAGGCTCTCGTTCTCCGAGGCCAGGCTGGCGCGGAGAGCGAGCCGGGCTCGCTGCTAAGCCGCCGTTGCTACCTCCAGTGCCCGTAATGGGTTGCAGGACCGCTCCGACCCCTCCGGGGCCTGGGGGCGATCGCCACAGGGCCGCAGGAAGAGGAAGAGCGGAGGAGTTAGCCCCACTGTTGTTGCTGCAGCTGCCGCCACCACCACTGCCTCGCAGGGCCAGGGGCTGGACAGGGGAGTGGAGAAGGGGGAGAGGCTGCGGCTGGGGTTGGAGCTGAGGGAGAAACTGCGGTTGGGGCTGGGACAGGGGCTGGAGCGGAGGCTGGGGAACGGGAAGAGGAAGGGACTGGGATAGAAAAGGAGGATGTGATTGGGAGAGGAGCTGAAATTGGGGCTGTGACTGTGGCTGGGGCTGGGGCAGAGGCTGTAGATGAGGCTGAGAAGGAAGCTGCGGAAGGGGATGCGTCTGGGGCTGGGGATGGGACAAGAGCTGAAGATGAGGTCGGGAAGGGGGCTGTGGGAGGGGTTGAAGTTGAGGTTGAGCGTGGGACTGGGAGGAAGGCTGGGATTGGGATGATAGCAAGGGCTGCGATTGGGACAACGGATGAGGCAGGGGCAGGGGCTGGGGAAGGGGTTGAAGTCTGGCTGCTCTGGGGCTACTGGGCAAGGAGAATGGGGCTCCAGCGATTTCTGCTACTTTTCTCACGGAGGAAACCCTGGGATAGGAGGCGGTAAGGGGAGGATGGAGGGTCGCTGGGGAAGGGAGGGGGACAGAGGGTACCCTAGGGGCGGTTGGGGATTTGGGAGCCACGGTGGGGAAGAGGGTGACGGACTGAGCAGCACTGAGGACGGTACTGGCGGTGCTGCCTGCGCTGCCCACGCTAGAGCCCGCCGGACCGGTAGCAGCCACAGAGGAGGCGCTGCTAGAGGAAGCCGAGGCAGATGCTTTGAAGATTTTGGCGAAGAGGGACCCCAGATCCAACACTGCGACCTTCATATCTCAGAACTGGGAGACCGCGTCTTGAGGAAGCCCAGAGTTAAATCACAGGGCACAGAGCCTACCCTTGGCAGCGGAGCTCCATCCACCACCCTAGTGGGGAGGAGATGCTGGGGGCTCAGTAACAACTTTAGCGAAGCGAGCTGAGTGGACTAGCGGCGCTCCCAGGCTCAGTGCGTGTTGCTTCTCGAGCTCGGAACAGAGAGGTGCGCCTTTCTGTGCGCATCAATTCCTCAGATCTTTGCAATACAGCCCCAACTTCAGGACAATTACCCCCCCGCAGCTCCCCTTTCCCGAAGAAATGAGAAAAGCACGGATGAGAGAAGGCAACGGCACACTCAATCCTCTTTCCTCCTTTGTCACTTTGGCTGAACGCAGCAGCACCAGGGCAACAATTAGCAACCTGTCTTCCCGTCCAGAGCAGCGAACCTCGGCTTCCCGGGAGGTGAAAAAAAGCCCGCAGCCAGAGCTGCAGGAAGTCCTGGCCGCGGTGACAAGATGCCCAGAGGGACACTTGCAGCCGCCGTCGTCACCGCCGCTGTTGCTCTGCTCCCTTTGTGGGCTTCCACAGGTAACACCCAGAAGAGGGAAAGGGAAGGCGGTTGCTAAGCTAAACAAAAACTGAACTCACCGCTAATTGGGCACAGACCTGAAGTCCACTGTGGATGCAGAGGCTTCCCAACTGGATTGGTATAGCTTAAATAAATAGTAACCAACATCCCCAATGTCCTAACCCTCCTCCAGATAAGGGCCTGAGTGGGTGGGTGGGGTGAAGCAGAGAGTTGTCACAGGGCCCATTGTGAAAGGGGAACAGAGTTTGGGCACAAGCACTGAATAGTCTGGGTTACCCTGGAAGTATAGTGACAAAGGGGATATCATAGCCCCTCTTCTTCCTTGACTCCCAGGATGGAAAGGTCAAGGTCTAGATAGGTGGTGGGGAAAGAAAGAAGCCAGCCGTTGGGAGGCAGAATGGACCCCAAACAGCATGCACATTAGTCCCTGGGGATGTCCTTTGCAATTACACATTATTCCTTCTCTCACTCAAGGTTTCCATTCAACCGACCCTACTTGTGCTCCCCATAATATTATATTTTATCTCTCAGATTCATTCCTGTAGTTGTTCCCCTGCCCTCATCAATCAGTCATGTATTCTCTTCATGTCAATATCCACTTCTTAGAACCCCCACTCACTTCAAGGTTAAGCTCAAATGCTACCTCCTACAAAGAGATCTTTCCTTATTGACTCAATTGTTAATGTTTTCCAAATGATTTGTGTAGTACCCCATCTTAGACTACTCTCCCAACATACACACAAAAAATGGGTCCCTTGGAGATGGCTGATACTGTGTGTTCTCAGAGTAACCCTCTGGGTAAATATCCTCCTAACATGATAGTTTATAAGTCCTCATCCATATGCTTCTCTTTAACAATCACCTGGTAATTCAATTAAGTTTTTAGAATAGGTATTTATTTAAATGGAACATCAAAAACAGCAATTATGAAGCACTTTCCCTAAAACATGGGACACATATTCTCAAGGATACTTGCAGAGTCCATGGAGGGTAGGGAGAAAAGTGGGTATGAATTTCAAAATACAGTGGTAGTGAGACAAATATGTATGGAGTACATGTGGCCTAAGCAACTCAACTTTAGAAAGACAGGGACCTCAAAGCCCTTTCTTTCTCTGTAGAGATCATATACAGTTTACTGTTGGTGATAGAAAAAATCATTCTCTTACTAAGCTGGGTTTATTTCTTGCGGGATGCAGCCTCCCTTCTGGACAGGTCCATCTGCTGCAGATCGTTCCTTACCTGGCTTGGTTCTTGCTGGAGTAGACAGGGCAAGTCACTTGGTTGCTGGGTAAGAGTACTGGTGAGCTATTCTAACCTAAGCGATCTAAGCTAAGCTAATGCTGAGCAAATTCTAAGTGATCATTTAGCCAATATGGTGCCACCAAACTGGGCTGAACAAGTTGTTCTGCCAATGAGGTCTTCATAGGGTGCCATCTCTGCTGGTTGGGTTGACCCACTGAATTCCTTGAGGTCCTTCTTCTATGTTCAACTCCAGTTGTCTACAATCTCCAGTCTCTGGCTCAGGTGGGTGTTACTGTGCTCTTTTCAGCTGTCATGTTATGATACCTTTTCCACAATGGCAATAACCCTTAACCTCGTATTGGCAGAAGCCTCTCCTTTTTGACTCCCTCAGGCCCTTAACTGTGAGGTTTATCACCTCCAGGTAGGAGGCACAAAGCAAAATGCTATTTCAGATCCAAAGAAGAGGGTTGGGAAGGAAAGGAACAATCATGTACCTGGCACACAGGAACCACTTAAAAATGCTAGACTGATTAATGGTATTCTATAGGCATCGTGGGATAGGATTTTCAAGGTATAGGGAACAACATAAGCAAAGGCCCAAAGACTAGAAATTGTAGGGAGGATTTAAGGGACAAAGTAGTTTCTCGACTAGCACACTGAGCTCATGGAAAGGATCAAATTGACAAAAATTAAAAGAGAGGTTGGTCACAACCAAGTGTGGAGAGCATTGACTACAAAGAAAAGGAATTTGTATGTGACTTTCCCCTCTCCACTGAGCACATTACAATATATTCACCCATAATCCCTCTTTCCTGAGCTCTATTACTGCATCACCAACTGCTTAATGGAAATTCTTTAAAAAAATGTTTTTTATTAATATGTTTTGTTTTTACATCGCAAATGTTGACAGAATATTCCCACTTCATGAGAAGTCTCTTATAACAAAATAGATAAGTAAAACCATTAATATAGTGGCTTCATCTGAGAGTGCATATGACATTTTATACATGTATCACTCCCCTTACTTCTCTATTAAAAAAACAACACAGAAATCTATTTTCTCTTCCTTTCAATTCCCATACCACTAAAAAAAAAGAGAGAAAAAACTTTCTTGTAACAAATATGCATAATCAAACAAAACAAATTCACTCAACAACATCTGTTAACAAAAATACATGTCCCATTCTGCACCCTAAATCCATCAACTCCCTGTAATGGAGGGAATGTTTCATCATCAGTCCTCCAAAATCCTGAATGGTCATTGTATAGGTCATGGTTGTTGTTTCTACAGCAGTGTTGTTATTGTATAAAAATATTCTCCAGGTTCTGCTCATTTCATTTTTCATTAACTTACAAAAGTCCTCAAAAAGTATTTATTTTTACAATATTGATGTTGCAGTATAAATTGTTCTTCTAATAGAACTTTCTTCACTCCGCATCAGTTCATACAAGTCTTTCCATGACTTTTTGAAATCATCTATTTCTCCATTTCTTACAACACAACAGTATTCCATCACATTCATATGCCACAACTCATATTCCTCAATTGATACGCATCCCTATAATGTGCAAGCTTTTTTTTTTCCACTACAAAAAGAGTTACTATAAACATTTTTGTACATAAGGAACCTTTTCTCTTTCTTTGATCCCCTTTGGATATTGGCCTAGCAGTGGTATATCTGGGACAGAGGGCATGTGCTGTTTACTAATATTTTGCATATAATTCTAAATTGTTTTCCAGAATGGTTAACTGGGCATCAGTTGCCTGTTTTCCCAAGCACCTCCAACATTCATCATTTTTGCTTTTTGTCATCTTTCCCACTCTGATGGGGGTGAGAAAAAAATCTCAAAATTGTGTTAATTTGCATTTTTTTAATTGACAGTGATTTGGAACATTTTTCATAAGGCTATAGATATTCTGGGCTCCTTCCCTTGAGAACTACCTCTTCATATCTTTAGGCCATTAATCAGTTGGAGAACAGCCCCTTTTCTTATAAAATTGAATCAGTTTTTATGTATCTTAGACATGAGAACTTTATCACAGAAGCTTACTGCAAAAACTTTTTCCCTCCAGTTATCATGTTCCTTTCAATCTTAGCTTTTTTTGCACACGTATGTACAAAAATTTTTTAATTTTATGTAATTACAATTATCTATTGATTCTTCTATGATCCTCTTGATTCTTTGCTGGTCATGAAATGTTCTCCTACCCATAGAGCTAATGATATTTTTCCCCATGTTTCTCTCACTAGTTTATGATCTGACCTTTCATATCTAGGTTATGTATCCATTTGGAGCTTATCTTGGTAGAAGATGTGAGGTGTTGTTCTAAAATTCAACTTCTTCCATATAGCTGTCCAATTTTCCCATCAGGTTTTGTTATCTCATTGTTGTCATTATTTTTAATGAAATCACCTATTGTCTCTATGATTTTTTTTAACCAAACCATTCCTAAGAATTAAGTTATTTAATCTCTAATTGGTTTTTACTACTGTTTCAGTGGCCCTTAATTTAATATAATTTTATTTCATTGTTTTCAGTTTAAAAAATCTGTATAATATTTCTGCCTTTTCTGCATTTATTTCTGAGGTTTTTAATGTCCTAAGGAATGATCAATTTTTTTAGAGGTGTCATGCATAGCTAAGATACATGTATGTTCCTTATTTCCATTCAATAATGTCCAAAAGTCTATCATATCTAATTTTTCTAAAATTCTTTTCAAGTCCTTTTCAGATTCTTTTTTTGTTTATTTTTTATTAGATTTATCTAGGGCTGATAGGAGCAAATTGAAGTATTCCATTATTATAATGTTATTGTCTATTTCTTTTTATAATTCATTTAGTTTTTCCTTTAATTATTTTCAAACTATGCTATTGGGTATATATATATTAAGTATCAAAATCATTTCATAGTCCATATAACCTTTCAGCAAAATGTACTTTCCTTCTTTATCTCTTTTAATTAAGTTTATGCTTTTCTGTTGCCTTGTGTGAAATCATAATTATTACCCCTGTTTTTATGTGTGTGTTTAGATCAGGCATAATAGATTTTGCTCCAACTCTTTATTTTAACTAAATGTGAGTCTTTATGTTTCTTGCAAACATATTATTTGATTTTACTTTCTGCTTTATGTGTGAGCTCATTTCATTCACATTCAAAGTTATGTTAGTCCTCCTTTGATATGCATGTTATTCATATCTACCACCAAATAAAAATCCTAGTACCCGTTGTCTATGTGCCCCTTCCTTCTTCAATGAATTTGGTAACTGGCTCACAATTTTTCTCCCCTTCCCAAGTCCCTCCCTAATACTAGGTTGCTTCAACATGCATACT